TGTAAAGGTGGGGAGAAAGGGTCTTACTTTGTGAGAATACTGAGAAGAATAAAAGCTTTCATTTCTTCTAAGGCTTAGACGAGTAACTACAGACCAATGGTATTATTAATAGTTTTACGTAGCTCAAATTACATACCTATAATTCTCGTATTTAATTTTGTGGCTTCTCATCATCAAATATAATACAATCCTTGAGAAAAGCAGAGCAAGTTGCCAATTGTGACAAGGTTTGTTGAACACAGTTTCTCTAATGCAATTTTGGCACATTAATTCGAAAGGGGCTACAAATTGAATCAATTCTGGTTTTGTTAAAGTCTTTTGTGAAAACACTGTTGCCATTTACTGAGTCAAACGCTTTCTGATAGTAAGTAAATAGGGAGCTTTTTGAAATTCAATATTTTCTACCCTTTGTGATTAGCAAGCTGAAGGAATGGATGCGATCAATATTAGAAACCTCTGAGCAAAATCCATTTCTTCTGTGAGAGTCTCTTGGTGTAGTTACGAATTATTGCATTGAAGACTTCAGGGAATTCAACCCAAATCTTGGTTTCTCTCTCTTGCCATTCCATCATTGTAGAAATGTTTTGGACATTGCTGCTACTCAACGATCTTCAAGTATCCTACAACACTTCAATCATTTACTCTTTCCTCCCCATACTCTGCCCTGCATGCAGTCCAATATGTACATTTTAATGGCCTTTCAAAAATAGAAATCAGATTAGATTAGTCCTTGCTTAAAATTTCCCAATGGCTTCTTAAAACTTTTAGAATAAAATGGAAATAGGTACTGAAGTTTACTGAGATGTCTAGAACTGGTACTTCTCTACCTTTTTTACCCAGTTCCTGTCTCCCTGCTTCTGGTCACACTGCTCCAACGCTCAGATTAGCACGATGCTCTAGACTAACACCACGATCATCCTGCATCAACCATTCTTTGCTCTTGCTCTTCCTTCGGCACAACACATCCCGCCCACAGTTGTTCGCATGACTGGCTTCTTACCACGTATGTCTTCACTCAAATGTCAGACCTCCTGTCCTCCCTAACTGAAGCACTCACTCAGTTTTGTGTCTTTTATAACATTACTCCTCCCTTTGTTGGGTTTGCTTGTTTCTAGGCTTGATTCCTTTGCTGTCAGATAATTTTTATATGCTGGAATTTGTATATTATTCTATGCATTATAAATAAAACTTGGGTATCTTCTACACTCCTTTATTCATAGGGTTTAGTGAGTGGGAACTCACTAACTTTAATAGAAAGAATAAACAAATTCCAGCCTCTGCATTGTGTGAATGATATAATTAAAACATCACTAAACCAGTGTAACTTTAGAAAAAAAGCTTTGTTAGCCAACTCACACAAATTCTGTTCTATTAGTAATTTATTACTTAATTCCTTCAGTCACTTGGGTATTTATTCAATATTTACTGTGCACTGTAATCTAATTTTGTATAAAAAAGTCAATTATTTTAGATCTATTTATCTGGTAATATATTATATAAAGAATATAAAGTA